CAATTTGAAACATTTGCTTAATATTGCAATTACATTTCAGGAGACTTGAGGTAAATATACGGCACAGATGGGAACTCCCTAGCATCCTTCGCTTCACCGTGATATTCCCTGGTTTGATGTCGACAGATTCAAATCAAGGCCACATTAGCTATTCCTTAAGATTTGGCTTATTAATTACATGCCATGGATCAGAAGATTTTTTTTTTTTTTGGAGACCTTTTTTCCAGTGACCTAAATGCATCCATTACGCTCTTTTTAGAGACTGTAAATGATCCAGGGTATCATAAGCTGCAAATATTTCTCACTTAATGTGCAAAAGGGTCATGTTGGAGGGGAAATTTTTTTTAAAGCTGACGTGAGTTTCACTTAACTGCTGCTTTGGGAGTCGTTATATTATGTTTGAATCTTCGGCACTCGTTGAAATATATGGACATTTTAATGAAGATATTTAAAATAATAAAAATGGACTATAAATCAATACGATATCCGGTACAATGAATTTACATGAGAAGACTTTGTCTTCACTAAACCTCGTTGCTTTTACTCAATAGGGTCACTGGTGAGTTGGATGTCATTTGCCTCTGGGTGGGTACACCCAAGGACTGGTCGCCAGCCAATCGTCGGACACATGGACAAATTACATTCTTGAATGACCCAAATCATGTTTTGGGGCCATAAGAGGAAGACGGAGCACCGGAAGAAATCCCACGTAAGCGCGGGGAGAGCATACGACCGCCAAACAGGAAGATGGGAGCTGAGATTTGGACCCTAACCTCGGACTGTTAGGCAGACATGCTAACCACTCGATCACCATGCTGCCAGAACTTCAATTAAGAAAACTGGACAAATCCTACGTACGCACGGTGAGAATGTGCAAACTGATGTCTCAGTAATACCTTTGTCCCCTCTGTTGTGCTGCTGGTGGGCAGAACCTGCTGACAGGTCCTCCGGGACAGCCATGGGCTCCTCTGCGTCCTCGGCCGTTTCGTTGGCAGGGGGGCTGTCTCGGCCTTCTGCGACACACATCAGAAAGCTCCCGTCACTCACCACGGAAGGAGCCCAAGCGCCTCTCTCAGAGGACGAAAATTACCTCCTGGTGGTTTAAAAGCTGTTGGTCGCACGTTAAAGCTCAATCACGCGGCAGTCTCTTACCTGGCATCGGGGCCATTTCCTGGGCCTCCTCCGTCTCCATGCGGTGCAAGTACTCTAACGGGGGACAGATTGCGATGTGAAAGTATGTACATTTAATCAAGAGTAGGCAGAGGAAACATTACACAAAGCCAGAGCGGGTTAAAGGGTGCAGTCTCGCTATGTCACCTCGGTGAGATCAATCTTGTCGCCGCACAGTCACACCGCTGTCGCCCACATTAGTTTGCAAAGAATTACAGACAATTTCATTACAAGTCTGAGATCAGAACATGGCCCGGCTTCAGCTGATGGGCCCGCCGACATAACGCGGGCTTGCCGGGGACAGCCTTTCAGACCACATTTGTTATTTATTGTTAATTTCCTGCCACGTAATCATCTAAAAAATGCGAAGTGACCGCGGCAAAATTAAGCAGAAAATTAACTGGCCTCAGGTCACTGAGGATGTGGTTGCTCGCCGTGCTCAGCTGATCAACGCTCATGTTCTCTCTAATTTACTGAGCATGCATGGCTGAGTCCGCAGCCTCGGTCGGCGCAGACTCAGTCACATTCGGAACCCGAAAGAGGAGCAAAAAGACGAGGCGAGGCGAGGCAAGGGTGTCAGCAATACTGACATCGCGGGAGTGGAATAGATTGCAATTGAGGGGAAGAAGTCAAGAGAGCAAATGTGACTGGAAGGTGGAGAACAAAGCCTTGAAATGCAAAGACGAACAGGATGGCGGATGGAGAAGTTCTCTTTCTCGCTTCTTTCGCAGCAAGAGAAGGCAACCGAGTCCAGAAGGCGCTCCTTCGGCCAGGGCTGAATATCTGAGGAGTCACCAGTGCTCGTGGCCCCATGAATAATGGATGGCCGTCAAGCCTGAAGCAGATGGGGCCGACAGCCTCGGCCTGGGCTCCGCCACTTCAAGAAGCCCTCGCTGGGGCCGCCGCCTGGTCCAAGCAGCCACACAGGGAGAAGTGAAGCTCCTGAAAATAGCGAAACAAGCCCAAGGGAGAAGGGGAACCTAGGCCTTCCTGTTTCACTAACAGATGGCTCCACACATTTGGAACAAATAGTGGGAAGCGACCAGGCTTGTGTGTCGCAACACAACAGTATTTTGCGGAGTCAAGTCAGGAGCTTGTGCAGACACCCGAGTTTTAAGAGAGGAAGGGGGGCAAAGGTCGCTGGTGCAGATGATTTACTGGGCATCGCGCAGGGTGTTGCGTGCGCCACCATTCTTCTGCATCTGGAGTTTGGAGGACGGGGAAAAGCCAGGGTATGTATTCTCTGGTGCCCTTTTTCTGGGCAGATGGTGCGAGGGGAATCACGGCTGTGTTGGTGGGGGCACGTTGACACTTTCAGCCAAAACCTACTTGCAAAGACGTCTGGAAAGTATGGTGCACGTTCAGTAGTCAGGAAGTCTGCGTGTGTGCGTGTGTGTGGGTGCGTGTGTGCATAGAGAGGCACTGGAAAAGTTTTGGTCTGAGTATCAGTGAGGAGAGGCAGGAAGAGGCTTGTGGGTTGACAGAGGGTTGCATGCGCCTATACGTGTTTATGCGCTGGTGGGGTTGGGGAGGGCGGGGGGGGGGCATCTTCTCATAGAGAGGTGCAAACAGCTACACCAGCAACAAGGGTGGAGATGAGAAAGAACGAAACCGTTAACAGATACTGAGGGCCACACCAGTGAATTCTGGATACCCGAAAAGAAGCTCACAAACAGGCGTGCGTGAGTGTGTGTGTGTGTGTGTGTGTGTGTGTGTGTGTGTGTGTGTGTGTGTGCGTGTGCGTGTGTGTGTGTGTGTGTGTGTGTGTGTTTCTATGATAGCAAATAAATTGCAAGCATTATTCTGTATCTACTCACCGGCAACAACATTAAAGGCACATCTGCACAATGTGTTGAAATTCAATACAAGAGCTGTATACAATAATTTCAGCTGATGTTCAAGTTCAACTTCTCCTGCATTTAATTATTTATTTATTTATCTATTTATTTATTTATTACAGTGGTGTGGAACTGCACTTTAGCATATCGAGAGGTATGCCGTAAATTGGGTAACTAGAATTTGAAACACCACTTTGCTCTTTTAAAGTACTGCAATCTACAACACCGTAATTACCGCACACATAGACACCTCTGTATGGTATATTTAAAAGTAAATATTAATTTTAAAAGTCACAATTCTTGGTACAGTTCTTATAATTTATCTTATTGAATTAAATCGGATGTACCAAACGATGCGTCGGAGACCCGGATCGTTGTATAAGTATCACTAGTAGAAATGATGAATGAAATTAAACAATAAGTAAAAATACACACACAAGCACACGCCCACTCAGTCGCATACACACACAGTCACCAATGCAATACTGTCAGCGCAGTAGATGAAATGAAACCATATTTCAATATTTAGACGTTTGAAGCATAAATAAAAATCAAGCAAAAAGACAAGTCATTTTAAAAAAATCAATTATAAAATTTGGAAAACAAATGAAAGGTTAGAATTTTTATATGATGAATCCATATTCTAATTATGTCATCGGTTAAACGAAAAGGCGATATTCATTTTTGAATTCATGCCGACACCATTTTTTTTTATTTCACAAAAGACAGACTTTATGTGATTTACAAAACACAGACTCAAATTTTAAATCATCCTAAAAATTGATCCTCTCCTAATGAAGCGCTCGCTTCTCTTAAAAAGTCGGGGAGTTGTATGTTACTAGCCCGTGTGCGAATGTGTTTCTGTAGAGCGTCACTACAGTAATTCATGAAATGTATGGATGATATCAGCGGGTAGACAGAGTTAGCAGATGTGTTCTTATGGGGCCCAGTGCGGGGGTGACAGGGGAGCAGAGGTGCACTCAAGAGAAGTTTCCTTCATTTGCATGTGACACACTTCACTAGTCTGCTATTCAGACAGTACAATCATTTTAATAACTGCCTGTCTTGTGTTGCCCGCTCCCCTCCTACTTCTCTTTCTTCTGACAGCACACACGACGCACACACTTGCGGCACTTCTGCTTCTATCGATCAAAAAAAAAGTCTTTTGTGCAGGTGTGTTTTCAAGTTTTAAATAGACGGAAAACTGAAATTATTTTTTGGGAAGTGTTGTTTTTTTTTTGTTTTGTTTTTCTTTTGTAAAATGTCAGATTTTTGCCAGAGTAATTTATAGGATTATTAACTTCCTTTTTGTGACTTGCTTTCACATCACCTAAAGAGAGTGCTCTTTAAAATAGGAATTAAAATGAAAGATATTGTCAAATTGATCCATAAAGTCATTATGAGTAAATTGCCATTGACCAGATATTTTTCAACACAGACTTCATCAGCTTCTAAAGTAAAAAAAGCAGAACGTGAAGTGTTCTTTCTTCATTGAAAAGAATTTAAAAACTTTGAACATTCTATAAATAATTCAAGTAATCCGACAAAAAGTACAATTGTGCACCAGTGTCTTCAACTTACAGCATTTCAACATTCTAATGAGAAGGTGAAACAAATTTAGACGTGCGGGAAGCCATCATATATGGATCATCTTTCAGAGTCACGGGAAGCCATACTGTTAGATTCTTACATTCGCACCTTCATAATGTACAAAAAGTTGCAAAGATAAGTATTGAACCGAACGCTCTGCGGTGGTACGGCACATCCATTGCAACAGGTGTTACAACACAAGGCGAAAAGCAGATGAAGATGTCTGAAAAAGCAATCAAATTTGGGAAAGATTAATGAAAATACAATTTCGCTTATTTTATTTTAATTTTTTTTAATGAGACATTTTGAAAACATGGATCCATATTTTTTTCCCGAAAACAAAAAGCCACATGGAAAATGGGAAATGCCCCAAACATTCCTCTAATGTCAATGTCTCTTGTGTAAGAAAAGTGTGTCACAAAAAAAAGGTTGTAATTTGCAGCGTTTAGTAAAATATCGCAAGTCGGCGCAACGTGGCGGCAGAGAAAAGCCCGCGGATGAGACGGGATGAAGACAAAGCACCTGCAGCCAAACTCTGCAGGAGGTTTTTCCAGCAGGTGCGCGCCCTCCCCAAAAAACCCTTTAAAAGGATCTGACCGTGCCCGTCTCAAGCTCTTGCCCCCGTGTCTTAGAGCCGCCAAGACTCTCACTGAGCTAAAGGTTAGTGGAAGCCACTTTACCTGCTATTCCTTGAGTTTGCAGTATGAAGTTCTTCCAACTGTCCCCGGCTCCATGTGTAGAAGGTCGCAGCGCTGCGGCCCCATGGAGCTGCGCCCTCAGTCCCTCCCCTCTCCACTGCACTTCCTCGTTCCAGCCCAACATGACTACACTGTCCTCGACTGAGGCATTTTGCTTGCTTTTATCCACAGGCCCGGCGTGTGGCGGGGCGTCTTGGCACTTGCTTTGTGCCGTGCCAATAAAAGCTGACACCCAGTAGACCATTACTGGCAGCCATGCATGAGATGGGATGAGGCGCGCGCAAGAAGAGTGGACCATTCATTGTTTATTTATTTCATTCTCACTGAGGATGCTGATGGAGGAGGGAGGGGAGCGAGCGGAGGGGCACCCCTCACTCGTATATTGGACGGCTCCCCTTCTGTCACCTATGGCACGCCGAGGCAGCCCATGAAATTAACACAACTTAGTTTCTTATCCGCGCCATGACTCGTCCTCTCCAATCTTTTTTATTTTTATTTTTTTCTTCCTCTTCTGTAGCAAGTCTCCTTCGTGGCAAAGCGACTTTTTCGACATCATCAAGTGCGCATATATCGGGACATGTATCAAAGGCTATTTAAGCATTTATTCAACATATCCAGTTTACCCTCCCGAATGACCCGAACTGACTAGTAGAAGAATGTCAGTTACTTCCAAGTAACTCTATGATATTTCTGCATACTAATAGGACAACTATGAGTTCATTTTGAGGCAAAAACTGTACGGGAAATGGCATCTATGCGCTATATGTTCACTGGTACAATTTCATGATGTCACGAGCAGTAGCGTAGCACATAGTTGCCAACTAGCACACAGCTTTGAGTAACTGGTAACATAGCTGTCCGAGTGTGACAAAGTCGTCCGAGAGTGTACAGAAATGTCGTACAGTAATTGGACATCCAGTGGTGGAAAAAAAAAACATTCCTGGTAAAACGCAACCATTCTACTTGTGCACTGAAATGTCCAACTGGTGTGGACATAGAGCGCACTTCTACATGGATCTTAAGATCGATATAAAGTATGTTGATTGCATTTTAAATTGGCTTTCCATAGACTTGTCGGCGATAAGATGCATGATTTTTTTTAATTTTTTTAATTACTTTTCTTTTGATGGCGGCGCGGGCACCCGCAGCGGCTCCTCTTGTTGTATGTTGTGAGAGAGAAGACATTTCATCTGTGCTGTATGCAGCACATTTGACAATAAAGTTGTACTTGACTTGACTTGACTTGATTTTGAAGATACATGATGTGTGTCTACCGCAAAACATACTGGAGGTAGTGTATGGCATAACTTAAACCACTGCTCAAACTGCGTATATGAGTTGCAAAGCCCACCAATCTTAACCCTTCGTAATCATTTTTATAATGTTAGCAGAACATAACATGCCACAAAACATGCTACCACTAAAAATGTCTAATTATGAGTCAATTATTAATGTACACTGACTGGCTACAATATACTCTTGTAAAACTTATCATATCAGACAAGCCATATTATATAATGAGCTATATTATGGAAAATTGACTTCTTATTAGTGTACAAATTGTCGAATTATTGGAGTGTCTGCACTACCCATCAAGTGTGAAATTAAACAAATGAGGAAGTTAAATCGATGTTGCCTTTTTCTTGAAAATGGGTGTAGAAGTGAGCCGATATGAATTGTGCCCAATTGTGAAGCGACAGTCTGGTTAATTTCTCATCATAATCACTCCTCCCTCACCAAGTTTCTCCACCCCATGACCTGGAAGCTCGGCCAGGGGAATATCTGCTGTGTTAAAATCCAAACGGGAGGAAGCAGCGCTGCATTGAGTTTGGTTGGATGCAAAGATTAGCATTCACTACGGTGTTTGCTTTTGATAAGCAGCGCAGACTTGGTTGTTTGGTAAATTGTCGACAGTGTGTGTGTGTGTATGCACCACATACACGAGGTGAGCAGAGTAATCGTCCAAGTGTAATTCTGCAAATTGTCGATAAAGTGCTTCTGCCACCTGTAAAAATTACTCCAAATGAATTAATGCGGGCTCGCATTTGGCACCTCAAGTTCACTTCTTTAGACTCTTGGCTCAACTCGAATCCACCATATATCACTCCGACTCTTTGTCATGCTAATGAAAGCGTGCCGTAATGAGCAGTGGCATGTTTGTATGAGACAAGACTGCCCCCTCAAAACCAACAATCTTTAAGAAGGGACAAATAGCAGGTGTAAAACCTGATCCTTGGGGAACTTGAACGAAAGCATGTAACAGACATTTTATTGAGACACTCGAGAACCGTATTCACTTGTGAAGAAAAAAATGTCACACACAGACAAAATTGTTGACACGTTTTCGGTAAGGGGAAGAAAATCCACAATGATCATTGAAATAAGTTTTAACTGTCCACAAATTAAATTTGATATTTATATGTACAGTGTATATATATATATATATATATATATATATATCAACGTTCAATTAAATGTAGAGGAAAAATGATTGAGTAATTAACAATGGTGTTTCAAACATTAAAAAATGCCTACTCAATTTAGAGTGTTCAATCAGCTTGCCATGCATGTTTTTGGAATGTGGGAGGAAACTGGAGTACCCGGAGAAAACCCACGCAGGCCTGGGGAGAACTTTAAGCTGGAGCTGGAATCGAACCCAGTACCTCTGTACTGCGAGGTCGACGTGTTAACCACTGGAACACCGCCCAAAATAATTGTTATTGGACACATTTTTTTTTTTTATCTCTTCCAGTTATTTTAGTGACCATTGTGGAATTTTCCTTCTTTAACACAAGGTTGTCGACCATTTATTTTATTTCCAGTGAATACATTTGAGAGGTAAAAATTCCACTCTTTGTTCTGTTAAAAAAAAAAAAAAAACTTATCAGATTTATCTCCCTAAACAGTATTTCATTCAAGGCTTATCATATTACTCAGACTGTGTATGACTCACAAGCTAATGCTTGACATTGGCATTGTCATACCTACTGTTCACTGTTAATATTATGTTGGATATGATAGAAATATATATGATTTGAAGATTAATATTGATGTATTCTTTTAAATAAATAATGACGTACGGCATGGCCAAATTGAATCAGGCCTTATTTGCAGTTCTCCAATAATAATAACAATCTCATTTCAATGTCTATCAGGATCTTTTCGCTCATTTTGCGCCTGGGCCACATGATTCACTTAAAAGTATATTTTTGAGCATTTATATTGTTGTAATTTTTGCTTTAGTAAATATTATAATAATTTTTATAAATTCCCTTTGCGTTATTTTCTCTCAGTGTAAGTGTGTTTTTCCCAGTACAGTATTCCACGACCTTTCGGCCCCACCGAGTCTTATCTCAGGAGCGGTCGTGTGCTGGATTGCTGAGTCACCTTTGGTGGGAGGTTGCTCTTATCTCCTGAGAAGCACAACGTTCAGGCAGTTGCTTGCAAAAGGAGGAACTTTGGGCAGGAGCGCTGTGGCCTGCTGCGTCTTCTTGGCTAAAATGAGGATTGCAGCAACACTCGCCGACTTCCTCAATTCTTTGAGTTGGGTCAGAAGCGTTTTCCTTTTTCTTAATGTTTGACATGCAGGTATGAAAAAGCAAGTCGGCTAGGTGGTCCCCGTTGTTTTGCTGAGGGAATGTTGAGACTTATGACCCAGCATGATCTGAGACGTGTGGTCATGACTGCATAAGTCGGAGGTGTGGTCTCGCAACACTTCACAGCACTTTCTCATACTTTCGGATTTGCCTTTTTAATTGCAATTTTGGATCTTCTCTCATGTTATGAAGGGCGAGGATTCAACAAATCATCCGTGTGGAACTAGAATAGCACTCAAGGCCGCAAAACTACCTTGAAACGTCATCATCTTCTGTTAGATCTCAGTCCAATAGAAGTGGACAGAAATGGCAGAAAGTGAAAACAATTTCTTCAATCCAATCTTAATTCAGATCCTTCCCAAAATGTGATACAGTAGTATATGCAGTATCAACAGCATATACATGACATGAAATTCTATGTTGACACGTTTTATGTTGTAAACACAGAAAAGTGCCATGCATCAAAATCACTGACATTATTGGACCGGTAAAGAAACACAGAGACCAGTGAACTGAAATAGAAAAGGACTTCTTGTCATTCTTTTCATTATTTTTATTATTATTATTATTTTTATTCTTCATAAGCAGGAGAGGGCACAGGGAACTCTGCCTCTCCCCAGACTGCCCTGACCGCAGGTCCCCGATATGAAACTAATCCAGATGAATCACATTGTTCTACTTCTACTATTTTATATGAAGCTTGTGAAAAATATCCATCCATTTCTGATCCGCTTTATCCTCACAAGGGTCAGCCTAAGGTCAACCTATCCCAGCCGTCTTCGGGCAGTAGGCGGGGGACAGCCTGAACCGGCAGAAACAAGCAACCATTCGCGTTCACACTCACACCGAGGGACAATTTTGAGTGTTCAATCAGCATGCCATGCATGATTTTGGAATGTGGGAAGAAACCGGAGTGCCCGAAGAAAACCCACACAGGCCCGGGGAGACCATTCAAACTCCACACAGGGAGGCCGGAGCTAGAATTGAATCCGGTACCTCTGCACTGTGAGGTCGACGCGCGAACCACTGGAACACCGGGCCGCCTGTAAGGAATATCAACGTCATTAAAATTTAACGTATTATCATCAAAAAGAAAGCGTATTTAGAGTGAAAGACTGTTCTCGTCGCTTTCTTTGATCCTGGAATGCAACTTTTCTCCTGTAAAATACAACTGTTGGGGAAAAAAAAAGACTAGATTCGGTTTTGTTCCCTCGTGTCCTTTTTGTCTTCACCTGTTCTCATCATTAGGGTCCCTTGTGTTAACTCATAGGTGTCAAACTCAGGTCCTGGAAGGCCGCTGTCCTGCATGTTTTCCAAGTCTCCCTCCCTGTTGCAACACACCTGATTCAAATGAACAGGATCAATGTCAGGCACCCACAGAGCTTGCTAATGATCTGATCATTTGAGTTTGACACCAATGTGTTAACCAATCAGCTCGCGCCACCCTTTTTGTCTTTTCCAGGTGTTTCTCGTTGTATCGTCACTTTGCTTGTATTGAGTTCCTTGGGTTCTGCCAGTCTTTGTTGAATCATTGTGAGTATGTGAACGTCTGTGTGCTCCTGTCGTGTTTTGTTTCTGTCCTAGGTTTCAACGTCTGTGTGCTGTGCTCCTGTCGTGTTTTGTTTCTGTCCTAGGTTTTTGCTACATTGGTTCCTTGTTGGTTTCAGGACTTTGTTGGAGTACTTCAGTTAGTTTTTTGTTCATATAATCTGCTCAGTCATCCGTGTACCTCCAGTCTCCCTGCTTTTTGGGGTCCTCCACCTACCACCTCAATTAGTTTTTTTGTTCATATAATCTGCTCAGTTCCCCGTGTACCTCCTGCCTCCCTGCTTTTTGGGGTCCTCCACCTACCACCTCAAACGTGACACAAAATTAGCTTTACAGACATCTTTCTTTTAATCTTCACGTAGAAGCAACTCTCAAATCTTCTCGATTTACAAGTTTAATTCCGCCCATGAGCACCACAATCCAGCAAAGCTGATTTTGCGAAGCCCTGTGGAACCAACTTGGGCAGAGTATTTGGCTCTGAGATGATACATCAAGGACATACGACTAATATGCTGTACTCTTAATGAATGTACCAACACAAGTCTTGATGAGATTATTGATTTTGACATGAATCTACATTTCATTTTTGAACTGGGCCATTACAAGTTATGGTAAACAGAAAACCTTGAGGTTGATCCACAACCTGAAGCAAGTCGTGTTGCTGCTATTAAAATATCACTCGGCGAGTCTGGGGAGGGGGAGGGGAAAAAAAAAAAAATGTTGCTGTAATTAATATCACTCGGCGAGTCTGGGGAGGGGGAAAAAAAAAAAAAAGCACCCGACTACCAAACAATACGATCTGGCTTCCTATTTCATGGATCCTTAAGCAGTATTCAATGTTTCACATGTGGAAGCATGAGCAGCATGTAGCACTTAATTGCTTAGAGCACCTTAATAAGTCAAATGCGTTCAAGGCTGATAATCACATTAAATAGTCCCATTTCTCTAAAAAGTCAACTGCAAAGTGAAAAATTCTCTTTCTGTAGGAAAGCATTATGCTGTGAGGTTGTCAGGGTAAATTAAATTCCCCCGTGCACACTAAAGCATCAATTTCCTTATGGTAATTATCTGCTGGAATAGACGTGTCACTAGAAGGAGTCAGGCATGCTTGACATTTAGCCTTTTTATGGAGAGGCGATGAGTAAAAATTAAGATGAGGAAATGAAATTAATCTCCAGCCCAGGCAGGCATTGAAAGATCCTGCAGGATAGTGGCTGAATCAATCATGATGTTTGTGAGGCTGTTTTGAAAAGAAACCAGTGATGAGATGGAGGCCACAGGGTGGAACATCAGAGTGTGGTGGGCGGGGGAGGAGCTGTTTCTTTGCTTTTTTTTTTTTTTTTTTTGGGAGCAAATAGAGTTCTCATTATGAGGAGAGTGTTTATGCTGTTTTATTGGGCATGAAAGTTGGCTACGTTTTAGGTTTTGCAAATGAATCGGTTTTTCTTGAATGAATGAATGAATGAATACTTTATTGTCATTGCACACTTGTTACAACGAAATTCTGCAGGAGCCTCAAATAGAGTTCTCATTATGAGCAGAGTGCTTATGCCGTTTTATTGGGCATGAAAGTTGGCTACGTTTTAGGTTTTGCAAATGAATCGGTTTTAAACATTGTTAAAAGGGTTAAGGTAAGGGGTTCGGGTCACTATATTTATTGACTACTTTTCATTGTGAGAGCGACCTTACGGCACGAGCCTGATACACATCATAAGTATTTCAGCGGTTTGGCACCTGGGCCTTCGGTGGACACTATCACACTGCAATTAACTACCACCACCACCACCACAAAACAACACAAAACGAAGAACATGACAAAAACTTGCATCCATGCTCTGTACCATTTATCCTCACTAAAGTCGCAGGTGTGCTGGAACCGATCCCAGCTGATTTTTGGTGAGAGACAGAGTACACCCTGTATGGGTTGCCAGCTAATCACAGTGACAAAACCAAAAAACATTTTAATAACATTTATGATATTCACAAGGTATGCTGAAGTTGGCTCGAACAAGTTCTGCTCTGACCAACGAATCAGAGGACGGAAAAGTGCCCATCATTAGCCTTTGCTGGCCACTGATAAAACACATGCATGTATTATGAATTTAATTTACACACATAATCAGGGAACAACAGAGTAAATGACAATATGCTATTATTGCGATCATGCCATTGCTAATATCATAAGTCAAAAATCGGCTGAAACTTCACCTTCGATATATCTATACTTAAGCAAATTATTACTACCGGTAAAACTCTTCAAGTCAATACAAAAAGAGGATTAAAATGAAATTAATGAACCTGTTTTGTGGGGAATCTGTTGGCAACTACCCATGAACATGGAACAGCTAACATTGTTTGAAATTTAAAGCAATGCCACATTAATATTAATACAAATGGTGGTACAAGCAACGAAGAAGACGCTGGTGGATTTACATTTAGTATGGGCATTGATGCATGCATTAAAATTATTCCAGGTTGGTCAAAAAATCTAATGTGGCAACGGCAAGTCACTCTCATGATTTCTTTGACAATAATGGAAAAAGTTATGAAATGAAGGAAATCTTCCATTTCATCATGAGTGACGTTATGGAATAAAACCAATGTTAACAATTCATATAAAATCTCACCGAGGGTGCCACATTGGCTAGGCTACGGCTCAATCGACTGATCAAATCCAGTGACAGCGGTGTCATTTTTACGAATTGTTTAGCTACACAGTGTTGACAAAATAAGAAGAAATATCAAAATACTAAGTCAGACGTCTGACAGATACAAAATTCGATACTACATGTTTTCACCCTTATAGCAGTATTTTTTTCTTAATGTATTTATTTTTGTAACAAGACATCACTTTAAAGTGTTTCAAAAGTCAATTCAAAACTGTGGTTGAATATCGTAGGGGAATGTGGCTTGCGACGTTTTCTTCAGGAAAAATAAAAGCTTTTTATTCTCAAGAAAAATTCTTTCTAACGCCACGATGCAGAACAACATTTAATACGACATATTGCATGCCAGTCCTATCTAGGCAACAAATACCGCATTCGAGATTGCACTGGCTGCAGATGTATTAGTTTGTGTTGACATCAAAACTTTACTCATTTCTGAATCAATGACTTTCAAGTAGCATCTGGTGCGGGACAGCACATACACACAAATACACTACTCCACAAATGTGCTATTATTACACACGCACAGTACACACACACACACACACACACACACACACACACACACACGTTTGTTTTGTAGGAAGAAAGTGCGTAAAACCATTCATGTAAATCAGTGAAATAATGATGAGGCACCTCATTATTCTCCAACTCAGTCTGAATCAGTAACTGACATTATTATTGTCTTTTTTTTTTCTTGTCGAAACAGATTGAAGACTCACAAAAAGAAGTTGAAACCTTTGGACTTTTATATGTTTTTCCTAATGTCTCTTTGTGAGACGTCTGCACGAGACGTGAAGTGTGGGTGACAGCAGGGAGGTGTTGTGAGGGGTGACTCTGGTCACCATGCGGGACAGGGGTGCTAGGTGTCCGAAAACGGGGCACCCTTTTGTTTCCAAAGTCTTGTGAATTCTTTTTTTTTCTGTTTAAAAAGAAAGTCATCCCAATGCAAACATTCCAAGAAGCCAACAGCTAATCGTAACCTGACCACTTGTTGTGCATGAGCTCTGCCGAAATAAGATGTGGAAGTCATCTGACCGTTGCGGACGACCGTTAATCATTCCAACCAGTTGCATTTTTGCTCTTTTGGGGGGAAAGCTCTGGGGGAGGCCAGTGTAATCAGGAGAGGAAACAGATCTCGGGGGCTTTCGGGCACCAGGAAAATGGATCTGGGTTGTCAAAACCACGATTACCACGAGCTGCTCTGGATTCAGCCATCTGGAGCAGCCTGCTCCAAAAGCCGGTAAAGTTCCCTCTGCTGGGGCCCCTGTAGGAAACAGGTTTACACCCCCCCTGACAGGCAGCGGGTACTCCCAGAGCACATGTATGGGATGTACAAGATAAGATAAGATAAGATAACTTTTATTTGTCTCACAATGGAGAACAATGGAGAAATTTACGGCAGCAAAATTATGACATGTACGTAAGGCTGGTCCCTTTAGTGCATTTACATAACAATCTAGTTAAAAAAAAAACAAAACAAAAAAAAACACCCCAATGTCTTACACATAAAGCAACTTTCCAAAAACTCACATGCACTAAAGAAAATCAAATTACTGTATGAAATTTATTGTAATGCTTATTCCAAAATATGGGACCCGTGTCAAATGCAATGTCTCCAGAAAGCTTTGAGCAGTGAACTTCAATGGATGTCCTATTGGCATGTGTTTCTTTGCCAATTTTAATTTGTGACGCACAAAGGGATGTTTCCACAATTTCCAAATATATTTAAATAACTTTACCATAGCACGTTTCAGTCATCTTCAAGTAAAAAAATTGTGATGAATAAATAGTGATGTGATGGATTCAATTTGGGTCATTGATAGTTTGGTGCAATTGTACTCAATAGGTGGCTGCCTATTTGTTGCACCTCTAAATGCTACGGTCCTTACCCAGATCAGACATAATCCGGTGTTCACAGAGCAGGACAGTCAAACTCTGCATATTTGCGGTTTGGCAATCGCAGTTTCAGTCATTCTGTCAGGATATCAGGAAGGTTCCGGACAGAATCAGACTCTCCAAACGTAGACTCAGAGGTTTTGAGCCAAAAAAACAACGTAGACTCAAAGGTTTTGACAAAAATATTTATTCACAGAAGTATGAATAGTGACACTGGTACAATAAACCAGGATCAATGGAGATGAACAAAACGCACTTGCTAAAGGCAAGGAGAATATAAACGGAAGTACGTTGTCTCAAAAGGACAAGAGGACCCAAAATGCGTATGGTACCAACCACTCTCGAAAATTGCACTTGGAACAATGGCTTGAGTAAGGCAAATTATCTGTCTTCAGTAGCTTGTGATTGCCTGGCCACCAGTTAGGTGTAATTTGCTTTTCACCCAAAAGTAAGGTGGGAGGGGCTCAACCTCAACCAAGACCCTCATGAAAATGGGAAAAACCGATGAGGATTATTGAGCTAAAATGACAAATCTTCAATCTGCATTTATTTTCTCCAGTTTTATTGAATGTCTTCATTTGAAGAACTGCGAGTGAATAGACTTTGTTGCACTGTCCACTTTCTACACATCAAAACCCATTCAACACGCGTTAAGGAAATACTACTTTGAATTGTTGTAGCTATGTTTGCATTTGTGATTGACACTGACATTTGTCCTCAGAAGTGTCACACCTGCATTCCTAGTCAATGCTATTACTAATTTAAATTGATGAAATCATGATAAGTCGCTGATGGTGTAGGGGTCGGGTTCCCACTCGGTGAGGGTGTGAATGTGGGTGTGTATGGCTGTTTGTCTCCATATGTGCCCTGCAGCAATTCCCGCGACCCTCTTCAGTATAAGCGTTGTTGAAAATGGATGGACGGATGAGTTCATGATAAGCATCGTAAGTGACACATTATGTTTGTTTGATGAGAATTTGATTTCATCTTTTTTATCCAATTACTTGAAATCACCAGATAAGTTGGTAAAAAAAATGATTTAACGATTTGCCAAGGAGTCATGGACATAAATATCAGCACCATGTTGTACTATAGTAGATTGTGTGAATTATATTGCCCTCTAGTGAACACTTGTGGTAATTACTGCTCATTGCGGCATGCAGTTTCAATGACGAAGTAGTTATGTTGAAAACAAATGCGTCCAACCGTGGATGAGGAACATTTTTCCGTTTAGCTACAAGTTGAGTAGTTCAGCATTATGCATGGCCGTACTGTGAGTTAAAGAGGGATTTTGTTTTAAGAACGCAGAAAAAGAAAAGATGTGTTCAGAAAAAAATTTGACATTATGAAAATTATTCATTCCCTTTTTAAAAGGTCCCGATAACTTCTAGCATTGTATTAAACTCCGTGTATAGAATATAGATAAGCTCCTACTGAAATTCTCAAATCTCTTTAGGTAATGAATAATGTTGAGCCTAACTGCTAAGATGCATTTCTAAAGATATTTATATCGATCTATTGTACTGCATATGGATACACTGCAAAACATGACATAACATCAAATATAAAAGCGTTTCATTCAATTTACTCAATGAGATACTGTGATGACTGACCAACTGGAGATATATCAAGAGCAGAGTTAATAGTTGCGTTAGCATGTGCAGCCTTGCCTATATTGCCTGGGATGGTAGTCCGGCTGGAATGCAAACATTTGATTAATATTATTCATTCAATGTTGACAGATTCATTTCTTGAAACAGAAACAGAGTGCACACGTTTGATTTCACATACCGTGGTGTAAGCGTGTATGAGGGAACAATGTTCCTTGTCACGATCAGTAGTTGGAAGTCTTCATCCATGTTATCCATGTTATCCATGTTTTCTGGGCCTATTGTACCATGACATATGAATGTAAACACACACACACACACACACACACACACACACACACACACACACACACACACACACACACACACACACACACATCCATGTTTAGACATCTCAAACCACATGCCTTGTTGACTCTTCATTGGTGTTATGCTCACATGTACAGTAGAATCTGGCCTGATCGGGCACACCCAATGCAGCTGTACCACAGGAAGTGATTATTTTATAATGATTCGGTTTTTTTTTGTTTTTTTTTTAAAGTGGGCACAACAATCGGAGTTGTACACTGACAATGATGTTTCTTGACTTCGTGCCACGATCAAAGCTACTGCCTCCAGCACTCCAGAAGGAAGGTAAAGAATCTAAAATCCTTTCAAGTCTCTTTAAAGTGTGTAAAAAAAAATAATAATAAAAAAAACATGACTCACTTTTAAAGCTCTGCTTCCACAAGGTTGAACTAAGATTGAATAACTTAATATATACGTTAATACAAACAAATGAATACAAACAAACAAGCCAGCATTCTGAACAACCTTATCATTCAGGGAATGCAAGAAGGAAAAAAAACAAGAACAGAATGAAAAGAAAATATGCGATAGTGGTGAGTGGGAATGTACTGTATATGTTACATGAGAAAAACACGATGCCATTTTGTAGCAGTCTCACGAAGCATCAGAAAAGTTTACTAACATTAGTTACAGCAGCTCAGCTTATAAACTAATTGAGATACATGAATATCTATTTTTGAATTTGAAATTTGAATTTGAAGCATTGAAGTTGTTCCTTCAGTGAGTTCCATGGTGCTTGCCTGCATGGGGCCTCCAGGGGGTTTAGAAACAACTTCATTATAATGCAGTGCATCTCTACACCACTTCAAACTACAGCTACAACCAAAAGAACATGTTTCAATGAATAACTCGCTGACGTCGTCAATTGAAAGTCAACATCATTACTTTGTATTTGAATAGGGAACAGATGAGCACATAAAACTCAAGGATCATGCAGCTAAAATAGGTTGGTCTTCGTCATTTTTTCCCGTCTTAAATCTCATTTACCTGCCTCAGCTAAGGTTTACGATGCTAATGTTTTGATGAGAGGCATCCAGTGTCTGGGTCGAAGTTTTCTCCAAGGTTGGTGGTGCCTTTAGGCATCGAGGCAGTTTTGAATCCCAATCAACATACCGGTACTTATAACTCCTGCAAATGGACAGTGAGACTTGAGCATTTCACTTTTCTTTGGGGGAATTCCTGAAAGGTATTTAGATCATTTGATAGTTAAATGTAACAGAACAGACATGTTAAGCTTGAAAACATCGAACTGAATTTACAATATGACAAAAATTAGCACATTTAAGATTCAATTATTACTGTTTCAGCCTGCATTGACAAAAGACAAAATGGTTGAAGTAACATCACAAAAAAACATCGGAAGCTTTCTTAAAGGAGCCGAAACCCCATGATGACAGGGTGGACATCGGTTTTAGGGACACATGTGAAATGATTATGAAAACAGAATACGTACAACGTCAAAATGAGTCCTTTTCATCAATACCTTGATTAACTATAATTTAACCCCTTATTACACACAGTGTGGTTTGCAGAATCACATACTGTACGTCCGACGGGCTATTGTCTAGTTGATCAAACGCAAATAAAGACAAAAGCTTTCTTGTGCAAATACAAACAAGGAGTCGCCTTCTCATTCAAAATACAGGCTGGTGAAATGTGCCAAGAAGCTTGCATTCTTTCATGGTATGGATGACAATTATACAAATGTAAGCATTCCACGTTCGCCCTCCTGAGATCTATTGTGTTCAACAGGGAGACTGCTTTCCACCACTGCATCATACACATTCCTCAGTGAGGGTAACTGAATCCCAACAGGCATATAAGAAGCTTGAAAAGAAACAAACAATATGTCAACAGTGTCAGGGATCTCTTTTTTTTTTTGTAAGTAAAAGTACTGACATTTTGGCCAGGCGCTGCACAAAAAGTAGCTTTGACTGTCGTCATTGCTCAAACTTGTGTCTGGTGTTCAATATGAGATATGAAGAAAACAATAGACTGTTGCTTCATTAGTCAGTATTTCGTCCAAACAGTCTCTAAATACCAGCCAACCTTGAGCCCTCGACACCTACATTCCTTTTGCCAGTTTATTGTGATTACGAAATGAAAAAAAAAAATAGCGACAGAAAAAAAAATACATCTTAGACCATGTTAGCACTCTTGGAATTACGGTAGCTATTTTTTATCCGTACTTGGAGCTGACTTCAGAAACACAAAATGATGAGAAATATTGACTGCAAATGTTTCGGGGCAGTTCTTTGTTTGATGGTTGACATGAATCCGATAATCTTAGCATTGTGCACTTCCAAATGTTTCACAATTTGCCGCATCCTTGGTCGCTTACATATTGCAACAGATGGCATTTAAACACCTCAGCCAAAAGGGTAGCAAAACACTGTTTGCTCTTAGGATGTTAGTGTCGCACTGCAGCTATTGAATTTACATTGCACAATATTACAAAAAGATAAACTCCAAATAAATTCTGCAATAGAGTTCATCGTAATTTGGACTGCATTTCCGTAAATAGTTTGGTTGCTTACCAGTGAATCCTTGCTCTTATTGCTGCATCTGGGACTCTTCTCGATTTCCAAGCTTCATCCTCTCTATAGCAAACAGCCTTGAGGCTGTTTTCAACCTTTCCTTGTCATGGAGGGAATACCCACAGAGTAGGGGCCACATGCTGGAAGTCAATAAAGTTGTGACGACCTTCTGCTCCATCACTCAACTGCCAGCTGCATGGATCCAAAAAGAGGGACGTCATCTCGCTCGGGAGCCAGAGGGGCATGCTGAGCTTGGGGATAAGATCCACAAGTTGAGTTAAGGTGTCCTGGTGCTGGTCTGTCTCCACCAGCAGGCCGGCACACGCAAGAGTTCAGCCGTCTGATGGCACGCAACCCTGCAGAGAATGGCTGGGAGCCTTCCAAATCTGAGGCCATTATTGACACAAGTGTGTGTGTGTGTGTGTGTGTGTGTGTGTGTGTGTGTGTGTGTGTGTGTGTGTGTGTGTGCGCGCGCCACCATAGGTCATGGATCTTCTCCGGCAAAGTTATGCAGTGAGCAGTAGTTGCCGGGAAACTGGCTTTGCTGGCTGTTTGGATCAAATTGCTGACATGCACGGAGGTCACATGACCCTCACTGCTGTGGACATAGTGTATGCAACCAGCAGAGTTTGATTAAGGATGCAAAGTCGCATTCTGTTAGTTTCATCATACTTGTGATTTTGCCTCAGGTGAGCCCTCGGCACATTCTGAGCCGTTTCAATTTGTCAACCTGCAACGATGAATTCATCTGTGTAGACGAGGTAAATAAAATTAGATTTCAAATGTCCCAGTCGTCCTATATATATTTTTAAGGACAGAAGTATCACTGAAGAGCAAAACTGTTCATTATTGTGGTTGTATTTCGCAGTGTCGTAGAACAGTGCAACATAAAATTCAGAACTATTCCCAATACACTCTCACATATAGTTGAGAAAGGCAAAATAGAGAGTGAGATCTCAAGTATGTTTTACTTTTGTTTGTCTGTTTTTTTTCTTTAATGCCATTTTTTTTAAAGCTTTCATAAAAGTTCCTTCTAGGAGAACAGCTGCCATCCACTGAAATGACCACTAGATAGAGTGCTTGCACTAGCAGACAGTGGAGAAACCTGTTTAATTGAATTTACCTGGCCCTGATAAATTAATAGAGAGTAAATAAAGAAAGAGGAGACCCTATTGGGTTATTATGAGGATCTATTATGAGTTTAAAATACCACAATCCTCTAACAAGGTCACCAATAAACTATTCATTTAAAAACCTCACTCACACTTTCTCCCTAAGGAAACATTGAGGTGTTTTCTTTCTCTTTGCTGGCAGGCCAGTGGACAGAATAAAAACAAGTGCATTTGTTGCTTTGTTTCTAACAGTAAATGTAAGGAAGGATTACCGTTGTGTGAATGACACTGGATGTAAAAACAAACATGTTTTTACAAAGGGCATAATCTGGTGATTGGAAGAGCTGTCTTCTATTCACTAGAGCAAAAATATATACTGTATATATATATTACACAATATGTGCTTGGGTGCTTATTAATTAGTTTGTGTGGGATGCCAAAAGTGTAATGCGCAAATGTCCATTCAGCAGATGTAAACCCACAGGTATGTGTGCCGCAGTTTCACCGACTAGAGACTGAAGCTTTGGGGCGTGTGGGGCACGGTATTTTGTTGGGCGAATGTATTCACGTTAACGTGTCAGTGATGATGCTGATGCCTGCTGACGGATGAGTTTTGCCCATGCTGTCATTTGAAAACATAAACACCCACGAGCTGTTGAAAGTGATGTGTTCAAAATAGCCTAATTATGAGTTATTGCAAGAGTGGTGAACGCGTCGGCCATGCGGTGCTCCCTTGAAAAAAAAAAAAAAAAAGGAGGGCAGGCATGACACTTGATGTGAGATGTGATGGCTTCAGTCTTCAAATGGTCCCGTTGACAAGAAGACGCCATTTGTTGCATCCGTTACGCGCCTCATGAGACACGCGTTGAGTGTATATTCATGCATGTGTAATGACTGCAGTGATGTTGAGATATCAACATGATTTATTGCATGTGAAGCCGCCATCCCCCTAAATCTTTGTTTTCCAATTAATTCAGTTTTCTGCATGCTGTTGCTGGAATTTAAATACCAAACCTCGCCCGCGATGGTAGAATGCTTATCAGGGAGTTAGATATTTCTGGAGGGAGGTGCCATTCCCATCGGCGCTGTCTCTGTTTCTGAATCGTGAGTTATTGGTTGGCTTGTGAGTCCTTTTCAAGCATCCTCCACTATCTCTGAAAATATTTACTGGCCATCTCAGTAGACCTGATGCTGCAGTGCGGTGTTCATTTGCACAGGCTCGATCTGTCTGATAGGATCAGAGACTCTGGATTGAGCATCAGTGTTGTCGCCGCTGCAGAGGGTCGTTAAAGCAAAATAATTTGAGGGTGGTGATTTGAAGGCAACATGGGCAGCCGCTGCTTTGGGCAAAGTCCCCTATTTTGGTTAGGAGAGTGAAGCGACACCTCTGAGTCAGAGAGGGTGGGCCTTGATGTCAGACAGTTACCCAATGGTGTTTTCAGTTGGAAGAAAATAATGGGGGTGTCATGCCTTTATCCAGTTTTTTTTTTAATTGTTGACAAACAACAATTATTCTGATCTGTTCGAATACTTCATAAATTACATTTGAGACAAGGTCGATGAACAGAATTTCTCAGATGAGTTTTCCTACTCCTATTTCATTTGTTGCCAGACAGAGTTCATCAGGCTTACGCGCAATCATTTCAAACTGCATACACTCAGTCCGATATAAGACTGTTCAGTAATGTCAAACTACCGGTACACATTTTGAACACTTTTTGTTGGCAGCGTGCAGGAATTTTGCGGTGTTCTCCCGTTCTGTTTGAAAAGGCCACAGCTGTTCACACACTCACGACTGTATTGATTTGAAACTTTTGCTTGTGCCAAAATGAATAGCAAGGTGCTTTTTCCGAAGGCGACATTTCAGAGGGAACTGAAAACAGAATGCTTACAGCAAGATAAGCGCTGAGTTCCCCAAGATTGGAATGAATCCCACAACAGCTCAGACGGCGTGATACAAATGATCAAATTAAAAGTCAACTTGGAGAGATAACATTTTAACCACTCGGCAGTATTTTGGTTGCATGGTTACAGATTTCGGGAGTAACGCATTCTAGCACTTTCGCATCCTTGACAGCAAGCGTGTTCAATATCAAAGGAGTTTTAACTGAATTTGGCCGAGGAACATCTCCCCCAATGACCCATTCCAAACACACATGGGATTCAGGTGTAGCACAAAACACACTGAAGCAGGGATTGGATTGAAACTGAATTGCTACTTGTGCACTTGTTAATGGTTTGAAACTTTTTTAAATGAATGAAAATTATTTTTAAATGTTAAATGCTGGAGGGTCTTTACCTGGGCTACATGAATTGTGAGGGGGCTATACCACCGCCAAGCCCCGGTGCAGCACCATGCACGATTATCATGATGCCTCTCGGTCTTGCTATTACAACAAATATCTGGTTTGGGGCAGGAGACTGAGCAATAGTTACCCTACCTGTGGGGTGTGCTGTGTTGGTTATCTTGAGTTACACCACACGCACAGTGCAGCGCGCACACACTTGCAGATATTTCCTGAGTCATGTGTGGGGTCACTCATGAGAAAAATTGGTTATGTAATCAGTGCTGTCACTGCTGTCACAAAAACCGGGCAGCTTGTAATTTTCAGCCTCAAATGTGAGGGAAGGGGCATGTTTACACTACGTGTGCACAATTTTTAACAGATAATAGCGAAATATCTTCATTGAGCTTGACAAAACACTTTTTTTTTTCAAAGTGGCAGTTTGATGGTTGACACTGAAAACGAAGTCGCTCATGGTGGAGTGGTTCACTCGCCAGATTTGTGTGCGTGCAGGGTGGGATCGGTTCCCACTCAGTAACGGTGTGCATATGGGTGTGAATAGTCGTCTGTCTCTATATGTGCCCTGCGATTGACTGGCAACCAGTTTAGGGTGTCGTCTGCCTTCTACACGAGGTCAGCTGGGATAGGCTCCAGGATAAACAGTGTTCCATATGGATGGGTGGATGGACACTGAAAATGGAGGAGAGTGTGTGCAAATACAGTGCGACTGTGCGAAATGACCAAAACAGCAAGTGTTTCTGTTTATGCCACATCACTGCAGTGTAAAAACACCCTTAGGGTAAAAGATATGTGCCCTGGACTGCAGGCAGAAGTCACGCAGACAAAAAAAACAAAAAAAACAAATTAGTCCCCCCCCCCCCAAAAAAATGTTAAAGATTATGAGATGCGTTTATATACAGTAATCATTTTCACTTCCTAATAAATGTTTTGTATAGTTATAAAATAATTATGTATGCATGAGACAAAAGCAGCTACCAGGACAGATGGGCACTTGTAAACATACAGTCATGTTCTCGTCTATAGCCGTGCATTCAGGAATCACCACTCCCACGTAAATTATTTATTCATTATTACTGCATGCTACCTCTTTTATGCCAGCTGTTTCTTCTCAGGTGGGATTTCTCTTCTTTTTTCCAGAACAGGTGGAAACTCTTTCCAAATGATATGCCTCAATATGAAAAGGACTACATCACAGTTATCAGTCATGTTCGGTGTTTCCGACCTTATGTCTTGTAAGATGATGAAAACGATGATTCTGCTTAGGGCTTGAGGCTTTAGGTCACTGTTCCTGGCTCATATTCATCACACTGTCAAGGAAGTGACCTCGGAGCACCCAGCGAGCATGCTAGAATATTAGGGAGCTATATTTTACGGTGTGTGCGTCTTCCTCGACCACTTGGAAAGATCTCCAGTACAGAGATGACGCTCCTGTGAGCGATGTGGGCAACCATGTCCTAAGAGAGGGCCCAAGGCTTCAGTGTAGTGCGACTTCCCTGCCCTCT